ACCTGGGAGGGTTGGTGGAGCTATCGCGGCACCGCGCGGTAGTTCTTGGGAGGGGGGTGGGGGTTAGCATATATATATATATATATACGTATATACATATACGCATTGGTATGAGAAGCGTACCCTGAAAAGGTTTTAACCTGTAAAGCCTTTAGTGCACCCTATTTCGAAGGGTTCCTCTCCGCGGCCGGATGTTGACTACATGCCCAGATTAGCATCGACCTTTGATTCGAGTAAAAGCTGCCACAAGCTTCTCGAGATGGCTCAATCTATCTTCTGGCGATTCTCCCTTTGATGGCTTTTGGCCTCCATGTCCCGGTCTTGAAGATCCTTGCATCACTTCAGCTTTCACAAGCAAACAATCGCCCCCTAATAGAGCCCGAAACCTCGAACCTACAACCCCAAACCTTAAAGCGTTTCGTGCCTGGGCTGCAATGTCATCCATCCAGCTGTCTGGCCGACCTGCAAATGATTGCAAATGTCCATAGTATCCTTGAAGAGTAAGTTGCGGCTGCTGCCGATAAGTCTACGAACAAGCATTTGCAAAGCAAAGCTGTTTAGGCACAAGCGAGTGAGCGCTGAAGAAAGCAAATCAAGGGCTACTGAGGCAGCAGCCGGTATCGGAGCCTGAAGAGCAAAGAACCCAAGGTGCCACATCTTGCAGAAATTGCTCTGAATGCTCTCTGTGTCCCAACAGCCTCTTTGCTGAGCACATGACTTTCCAAGTCTTGATGGCTCTCGAAGCGGCAGTAGTCGTCGTCTTCCTCCACGGCTTAAGCTTGGCCCGGGTTCGAAGCAATCGCGAGGCGATCACGTGCTTCTGAGGTCGAAGAGGATCCAACATTCTCGGAGAAACTGACCTGGCCCATCGTCTCGAAGAGCTGGCGTCGCCTTGGCAGCAAGAGCTTGCGCTGGGCCTGAAGACATGTACAAATAATTGATTTAGAGGCACGTATCATTTCAGGCCGTCTGTTCTGTTTCCTCGGGGCCTCGGGCCGATGCCGGATCTTCACAGATGCACAGGGCAAGTTATTGGGACCCAAGGGACATGTTCTACCAGTCTTCCACCAACTTCAACATGACACATCACAAAGCCTCAGCGTACCCTTTGAAGCCTGAACTTTGATGCACATGTCAGATTGTGAGCGGCCGGCCAGTCAAGCTCCTCTCGCTTGCGGCGAGCCTCTGCTACGGCGGCCAGGAGGCGATCCTGATGAGGCATCCCAACGCCTTCAAAAGCTGAGCATCGGCCTCTTAAGCTCCTGCCTCCTTGGCCGCTTGCCGGCACCGCTCATCTCGCTCTGCTTCTCGGAGAAGCCCTGAGTTTAGGAAGCACCAAACTCCAAAACACGACAAGCCCAAGCTTCTTGAACAACCTCTACTTGCTCCACCGTGGTCGACAGCGTGAGGAAATGAGGCTTTGCTGAGCGCAGGCACCGTCCAGATCCATGGCTTCGGCGGAATCGCCTTGTTGTGTGGGTGCTGGCGAGGCTTCGGTTCGGGTGCTTCTGTTGAGAAGGAGCCCCAGAGTTGGTATTCTGGCACGCATCTTGCGAAACAGTACAGGAATCCGTCGTTGGAAACGCCTCGCCTGATGCCCGAGATCGCCGTCTTCATGAGCAACATGCAGTTTGCACAGCTAAAACAGCACGCTTTCTTCGTCTTCTGTTCTAATATACCGACGCCAGCCGAAGGAGTGGAAGAGAAACAGCGCCAACTGGCCTCGATTGATGGAGTTTCCCGCCAACGATACCCATACCGCAGCCACAGTCGCCATCTCAGCACAGCCCTTATACTGCAGCAGATTGCTACTCACACCTACCCCATGTGCAGGCCCGAAATTCCAAGCCCGCCTTTGTCATCGCACGCGCCAGGGTCGGCAAGGGCCTTGGTGCATTTGGAACCCTGCCCATCTTCGTCACTTTGTTCAGCAGGAACTTCAGTTCCCCAGCATGGCAATCATCAGTTGGCTTGCAAGACCCTGCGCCTCAACGAGGCGCATCGCCACACATCCGCGGCAAAGGCGCCTGCAGGGGGGATGAGAATAGGCAACAGGTGCGCGATCTCAAACAAGATGCTCCGGCAACTTTCCCAAAAGAGCTTGATGTCCCATCTGCAGGTCTGTAGAAGTGATATGACTTGCAAGACTGTCATGTTTAGATAGAAAGGTCTCGACGTTCTCAGTGTCTGAGGTCGCCAGCGTAGCCAGGCACAGGGGAGACTCTCCCAGGCCGTTCCGGCTCTCGAGGATCGACCTCAAGTGGACAACAAAGCGGTGAGGCTCTCAGTCTCCAGGCCTTGTCGTGACGCCTGCGAGATGACCCCATCGGCACCATCAACAGCACATCGTCGTCCGCATTGTCATTTTCCCCTTCTTCCGTCTTCCATCTCTGGCCGCTTTGTCATGATGGTCAAAATTATTCTTACAGTCATCATACTGAGACGTGTGTGGCCACCCATCGACTCCACTGTAGGTCATGCCATTGTCATAACGGTCATAATGGTGACCATGACAGCTTCAGCATCAGTATCTTCACCACTGGCATGGGCTAGGCCACGAGTCAAGTGAAGTCTGCATCGTTGCCGTCGTCATGGACAGTAGTTTGGCAAGCGGCTAGCATCTAGAAAAGAAACAGTCGCGAAGATGGTAGACTGCTGACTGCAAAATTTGCTCTTGTATCTCTTGTCTGCGAATGCGTCCAATCCCCTGACTAACCTACGAATTCATCTGTGTTTATGACAAGTTTATGATGACCATGCAACTTCCTGCTTGGCACAGACATGCGCTATTGCACGAACTTTTGCAAACAGCTTAGTGTCAGTTCCATCATCACTGGGATGACTGTTCCTGCTTGAGTCATACCCACGGTCATGCTGGGGAACGGGCTCGGAGCCTGGTTGGCAGAGCAGCCACGCCTGGGCAAGCGATTGCAGCAGCGCAAGGCCTGATTAGAAAACCGCAGCTTTCCTAACCTCTCTGTCTCTCTCTCGCTCTTGTGGAATCTCGAAGCATCAGCTGCGTTCAGGCGTTTTGGTCAAGTCTTGACCAGAGTTCTTCTATTCGGACCTAAACGTAAACCTAACAACTTCTGATCTGCTTTCTCCGCAACGTTCCCAGGTTGTGGACAGCTGTGACCAACCCCAAAAGCTGACCATCTGCCCATCATGTTGAAGAGGATTGCATCCACAAGGCAGACGCATCTGTCTGGCTGGGCCTCCTGCCATCAATCCGGGGCAATTTGCACCTGAGCAAAAATAGCAGTAAACAAGCACAGAGAGTCGCGAACAGGTGCAGGTTCGCAAAAGGAACAACTAAAGGTAATAGTAGTCGTCGTCGTCGTCGTCGTGGTAGTGGCAGTGGCAGTGACAGTGGAGGCACTAGTAGAAGTAAGAGAAAAAGAAGAAGTAGCAGTAATGGTGGTGGTGATGCTTGTGGTAGTATCAGTAGTAGTATTCGTCGTCGTCGTAGTAGTAGCAGTGGTAGTAGTGGTCGTTGTCGTTGTCGCAGTATTGCAGCAATAATAGAAGTAGAAGTAGTAGTAGTAGTAGTAGTAGTAGTAGTAGGAGTAGGAGTAGGAGATAGTAGGAGTAGGAGTCGGAGTAGGAGTAGCAGCAGCAGCAGCAGCAGCAGCAGGAGCAGAAATAGCAGCAGCCGTGTACGTAGTGGCTGTCGTCGTTCTCGTAATGATTGTCAGTATGCGAAGTAGTAGCAGTCCTAGTCGCAGAAGTTGTAGTAAACGTGACAGCAGTAGTAGTAATGGTCGTCGTCGCCGTTGTCCGTCATTGTCGGACCATCAGCAGGAGGAGCAGTAGCAATGGTTGACTCGCCTGGCGTCTGCTTCCTGTGCCCGCATGCACCGCGCAACTGGCTACAATCCTTTGACGCTTCCTCGATCCATCTGTTTTCGCTGAAGATCTTGTCCATGAAGCATGCCAAGTTCTTGTAATTGACATCCATTGTTCCGGTCAGAAGCGCAGATGCCAGAATGCACTGTATCCCAGTCTATGACTGCCCTGTGCTGGGCCCTGAACGGACTGTAAGGTGCAAAACGTTGTCCTCGGCTGGCGAAGTACAAATCTTGGAGAATCGTAAGGCGAGCAAGGCTTTCGTGTGTGCATGTACAACAGAACCGTCCCAGCTGAATGGTGTCACAAGGTTCAGCGCCCTCCATCCAAACAGTCAATAATTTGAGTGTAGCCGTGGCTTGCCGCACAAGCGCACCGTGATGAGAACAGCGGCAGAAGCAACGATTTTATGAGTGTCCAAGTGTAGTACTCCCGCAGTGCAGTTGCGCGATGCGACAACAGGAAAGAGGTTGAAGCACTCTGCTGATACAGCCCATGTTCCTTTTGTGTTCGTTTTGCTGCGGGTGCTGCGTGCGGCTGCATGCACCCGTACGTACAGCTACTTCTTTCTGCTGCTTCCACAAGTGTTGTAGCTGTCGTTCCAAGCATTACCTTGCTATGTGCAGCATGTCGTGCAGGAGTAGTGGCGTGGAGCTACTTGTACCTCTTCTTCCGTCCTCTGCTGATATGTGGACGAGTCTAAGGCAGTACTGTCCTGCAGTAGCATGGCATCATTAGCCCATACACTCGTCGAGCGCCTGCCGTAGAAGAGTATTCTGCACTAGTGTGGACAAACACAGGAGGCTGTCATGGCACGTGTTCTGCACGATGCAGCGAGCAGTACGTGGCTGCTGGTGGCCCGTATCAGTTCCACAGAGTAGCCCGAGCCCACGCGGTATGTGGGATGGCCTGCTCATGAATGTCACCATCACAGTGGCCCACCGGCATTGCCCAGAAAAGGACGGGAGTTTTAGCTCGCCATGAAGAACAGGATCAGCACCGACGAAATATGCGACACAAACACATACAGTATTTTGGATGACTTTTCGATCAATGAAGCACATAATACTGCCGGACAATCGCACCATGCTCGAAGAAAAGGTGGAGATGGCCGCATGATGCTGAAACGCTTACATCTAAGCCAAGACTGCAGCTGCATCGTACCGTAGCACAACGAGCACAACGTTTTGAGGACACGGTGCATATCAATGTAAACGTAAGATCACGGCATCGTGGGGAATGTACCGTACGACTACGTGCACCGAACCAGAAAAAGCCAACTGCACGCACGTTGTTGCATTTAGGTGCAGCTTACTTACAATAGAGTATCAGGGTATTGCACGAGCAACGATGGCACGCAGCACTGAGAGGAACAGGAATTAACAATTGTCCGAATCAGCAGGAATATCTCGGGAAATAATTTCCAAGGCTGCAGTGCAAGTCAAGAATCGTCATTCTTCTTCCAGCCAAGCCCGTACTTCCTCTCCGGTGTAAGCTCGGAGCAATTGTGGTGTCGGGTTTAAGTTTGATGGTGTGGGTTTGGCCCAAATTTCGAATTCGGGGTTGAAAGTTGGCCCGTAGCACCGAACTCAGCACCTGAGAGTGCGCTTGAGCCTCTAACCCGGGAGCCGAAGCGACCTTCGAGGCCAACTTCATGCCAACCCCCGACTGTAAACTGCAATTTAATCTCACAGTCGGCCTCAGACGACAATGCATGCAGCAAGCACGGGCTAGGATTTGTCAGCCGGGCTCGCAAGTCAGGGAGGCTTGGCTGGGCTGGTGACGACAACGACGAATGCTTCTCTCATTGCCAATGCAACAAACCCTCAATACCAGCGAACCTTACGATTGACTAGCTTCGAAGTCCGCCTGATCAGGAACTGCGCGTCCATGATCTTGCCAGCCTGTCACGATGCTTTTCAATACAGAGGTGTCGATCTGGGACCAGGAACTTGCATGTGCCGCGAGACATCAAGCCTGGAATGAAACGTCACAGTATGAGGGGGTCATCCGGAAAAAAACGTGTCGGGCGAAACTCGTGAGCCAGACAGCGCAAGGAGGAAGGAGGCGTCTGCACAAACCCACAGTTCCACTGTCACTCACACGCATAATGGCAATAGGAATAAAAGCATCGACACAAACTCGCCATCATCATTACCATCATCATCACTATCATTATCATTATCGTCATCGAAACTTTCACGCTGCTATTGCTATCACTCCCACTACTACTACTGCTGCTGCTGCTACTGCTACTGCTGCTACTGCTGCTACTATCACTAGTACTGCTACTGGTACTAGTACTAGTTCTGGTACAACGACGACGACGACTAGTACTACTACTACTACTACTGCTGCTACTGTTCGCTGCTACAACTGCAACTGCTACTACTAATTCGACGACGACTATTATTGCTAACGACTGCTGCGGCCACCATTGGCACTACCACTACCAGGTAAGTACCAATGCTGCTACTACGACTACGACGACGACGACGACGACTACTACTACGAACAGGAATATTGCTACGACTTGTGCCATTGCCCGTGCCACTACCACTAAACTTGTAAATATTAGTGACAGGCCTCCGCAGCCTTGGCAAATTCCAAAGCGATGTTAGCTTCGGACCTCGACCTCGTGCACTCACGCGAAGAAGCGCAGAAGCGTTGCAGGTGATCGATTTGGGTCCAGTCAGAAAACGACACAAGTACCGAGACGGCATGCAAAACGGTATCAGGTCAATTGTGATTCATTTAGTCTAAACTTCCACTTGTGACTTCTCAAGCTCGGGCAGCTGTGCGGCTCTGTCAGAGAGAACTATGGTTCAGGGTCAGGGTTGGTAGATTATGGTGGTGCACGCGGTATAAGCCTTGGCACAATCCAAGCAAGGGTTTATGGTTCAAGTCATGGGTAATCGGAGAAGTCATCGTGTTGCACGGTGTTAGAACCGCTGTTTCAGCAGCCCTTGTGCACGGTGCTCCCAGGTGAAGCTGGCTTGCATCGTCTTCGCGTGCAAGTTCGTCGCCATGCGTTCACAAACGAGAGAGTGGAGTGGCATTGCAGTATCCATCCCAGAAAAGTGCAGAAGATCTCGATTGATCTTCGAAGGTAGCCGAACGACGTTTGGGTGACGGAAGCACCTGAATCCGAGGACAGTTGGTCTTGTCATGCTCGTGATGAAGCGCTTTCTATGATTACCTTGACATGGATCATCCTCGTCGCTCTCCTCTTTGACATTGATTTTGCTCTCCTTCCTTAACACTGTGCTTTGAGTTAGCTCGCAACTTGATTACCAACATGGTGTTTGCATTACGACTTGGAGATGTGAGCCAAGCTCCTCTTGTAATTACCCCTGCTTTCTCATCCTTCTGTCCCCCTCATTTGTCTTGGCCTTGCCCGAAGGTTTGAAGGAATCACTGCACTGTTCCATGTCATGTCCGAGGCAACCCGTGCCGTACAGACAATGCATCGATATCCATATCTCATTCGTGGCAGGTCCGATATTTTGAGCCCTTGACCCGAACTTCAACCCCAAACCCAACAGCCACACGTGAAGGACTGCCAAAAACCTCTGTGAGGCCTAGGGACCTAAGGACCTGAGCATCCGGCGAAGGCGAAGTTGAGGACCTGGGCTCTGTTTCAAGGGTTTCCCACCCTGGAAAGCACGCTGTTTTGCCGAAGCTGAAACCTAATTCATAAGTTCATTAGATGAAATCCACAGCCAACCAAGCGAGACGAGAGACGCACAGGTGGCTGTTCAATACCATGAATTGCTTCAGGGCTTACCAAACTAGATTCTGGCAAAGTTGCTCTATTCTGAATGGTTGTTGGAGTGAGCCTGTGGCGTCCAACAAAAATCACGACGACCCCTATAGCTGAACACGGAATCGCCTGGTGGATGATGCGGGGCTGCACAGACAATATCCCTCGACATGTTTCCGTAGGCGCACCCCTCGACCGAAAAGGGGTGAAAATGAAGGGGGACTTGCGACAGCGACAATTGTTTCTGAGTCCCGTGCCGGTCAAACCGAAACAGTGTCCAGGTATAGTATATCGCGGATGACGACCAAGCCAGGAACCAAATTCGAACACCGCGTGGTCAATTCCGGAGCCGGAATTCGGGAAAAACCGAAATCCTGGAACTTAATTCGCGGACTGCCTGGCCCCATTTCGGAACTGGGACGACCCAATTCGAGAACCTTGAAAGTCAAATTCAGGACCCAGTGGATCAAAATTCAGGCAGTAATGGATCTTTTCGAATACGCTGCGTCAAAACAAACATACAGTTCCGGCACACATGGATCTGACTTCGTGCATTTCGTTCACGCTGCCTCAAGTCAGATATCTGGAGCTAACACCAAACCGGCAAACCCGAAACCAAACCTGGAGTCCGAAACCCCAAGGCCCAAACGACACCCTAAACTCTAATCCCCAAGCCCTCAAGCCTAAAGTCGGAATCCCAAGGCAGAAACCCAAAGCCGAAATCCCAAGGCCGAAACCCTGTAGTCCCCAACCCCAAAGCCGGAATCCCCAAGGCAGAAACCCTAAACCCGAGATCCCAAGGCCGAGACCGAAACCTGTAAAACCGAAATCCTTAGGCCGAAGCCCAAAAGCCGAAAAACAACCCTGCAGCCGAAACACTAAGGCCGAAATCCCGACCAAACGCCAAGTCCGAATCCCGAGGCCCGACCCAGCAGCCGGACAGGCAGGGTTCCTGAATTCGGCCCTCGTGGGCCGTCGGTTTTCTGAACTTGGTCGTGTCTGCTCCGATCCGCTGGGCCTGAATTGGTCTACGCAGTTCCTGAGTTCTATGCCTGAATCACTCAGTGCCTGAATCGGTCTATGCTCAGTATTTGGCTGGGTTGAAAATGACGCTGCAGAAACTAACTACAAACATTTAGGTATGTGTTTAGTGCTTACTTGTGTCTCGCGAGAGAGAACGCAGGGCTCCGGCGAGGACGAGCTCCGCAACGGCAGAGCCGGACCTGTTTATGGGCATCAGGCGAGGAGATGATGTGTGCTTTGATGGTCCGTCGAAGTCCAGGGGTGAGAAAAGCGAGTCAAGGAGTTCGGCAATCATACCTTACAATAGTCTGGCGTGGGGGGGGGGGGGGGGGGGGNNCAGGGGCCATAGCCGAGCCTTCGAACTTTCGCCGCTTCGCCTGGCAATGGCTGTAGCCAAATGAAAGTCTTCGCTCTTTCTTCAAGATGCCCCACATGGATGCCTATTCTCATGTAAGGAGCATCGACTGAGGAATTTCTTATTCGAGTTTGCAGAAAGGAGTCCATGGGGGCCCGCCCACGCGCGCATTCCTGTCGCAGGCTGAAAAGCCGGGATCCACTGTACTCGGGCCAGCACTATGCTCCGCAACATTAGAAACCAAAGGTTGAGTCGCAAACTACATGATGGCAGGACATGCTCACAATGCGATTGTTGTCTTCCGTCTTTTCTGTAGATTGAGGATGTGAAAGATCTAACATTCATTAAAAAGCCGCATGAAGTCAGCGGCTTTGCCACCACCGTCTTGATCCACTATACGACTAAACATGTACTGACTGGACAGTCTTCTGAGCAGGATTCTTCGGATCGGACCCAGCCGCACTACAGAATCTTTTTTTTATTGACTCCACCTGAGTCAGAAGTGCATGCACAAGAATGAAACACAAGCACTGGCAGCGCATTCCAATCGGCATGATCGGCCTTCTTCTGTTGCTTGTCGCTTTTTTTAGCGGCAGCTTTCTTCTCCTTCTTCTTCAATTTTTTTTGCTTCTTCTTATCCTCGTCTTTGCGATGTCAACAGAACAGACGGAGAGTGGCGGGGCTCAGAATTGGGATGTGGGTTGAGACTTTGCCAAACAGGCTCTAGGTCCAGGTCTGGAGGTCTGGAGGGCTAATCACGGCTCCAGCTTCAAGAAGCTGCCATCTTGGATCTGATGCGATGCTTCAGAAGTTCCGGCCCTGACTCGGAACTCTCAGCAAATGGGAGCAAACCTGGGATCCGAAAGTGCCGCGAAGCGGAGTTGCCTGGACTTCAGAGTTGTAGGGTGTCTAGGGTTCAGAGATGAGGGTAGGGTTTCAGGGGCCTGCACTTAGAATCACGGGCCTGACCGCTGGATGTCTGAGTACACAGTAGACGCTGCCCGGATTGGATCTTCGATGGCTTCGTTGGAGCGGAATCAAAACTGTCCACCCCAAAGGCACCCGCCTTTTTCAGCTTCTTCCTCTTCTTCTTTTCGTCGCTCTTCTTGCCATCCTTAGCCGCTCTGGCGGGTTCGTAACTTACTTTGGGGTGGTCTGGGGCATTGGCTACGCATGCGGTCATCCATGTGTCGTCCCGTCTCGTTGATCGACGGCTTTGCACACTATGAAGGAGGCCTTGCTTTGGTTTCTTAGTTCGACTTGAGGATTCAGGACGAGCCGAGGCGCTTTCTCGCGTGCAGAGGCCGGAGATGTTTGACCTGAGGCCAGAGAGAGGGGGCCTCCACTGGGAGTGGAGGCTTCGGGCGCTCTCTTGTTGCAACTACGCCGGGGCCACTGGAGAGAGCATGGAAGGGCTTAGGGTTCACAAGTTTACATTCGGTATACTTCTCACTACTAGGGTTTTAGTTTAGACACTCGGAAACCTCTTCAGAAGCTACTTCAGTAAGTTCATTTCCTGGGAAGCGGCGGCATCAACTTGAACATTTAGCCAAGGCATCCCCAAACTTATCATCACCACGGGAGAGCAAGCTTCAGGTCAAAAGAAGTGCTGCGCAAACCCACCTTCCAAAGACAAAGCTTCACTTCATAGGCTCTCATTTCCTTTCCCTCAATGTCACCTCCCAGCGGATCCATGCAAACATGGACTTCGAAGCTCTTCAGGAACTCCCGTATCGAGGCCGCCGCAATTTACAAGCACACAGTCGTCATCCTCAGGTGATGCATTGGTGCCTCAGCCCATAGGAGCTTTTCACAAGAGGGGGATCCTGATTGATCTGCCTCTGTAAGAGCTCTTCCAAGGGTTTCATGAGGGTTTCACATGGATTTTATGTAGCGTCGTGCATGAGACTTATAAACTCAAGAAAATGAGGATAAGTGTGCTAGAAACCTCTAAATCGGGAAGCACTGATCCTGGTCTCAGGGTTTCGGAAAGTTCAAGTTGAGGGTTACCATGCCTCAATAACTTTTCCCTGAGTCGTTGTGTCCTTGCAGCAAGGGGAGTGGCATCCGGCCGTTGATAGAAGGAAGACAGAAACACCCGCTGACACTGACGAAATTTTCTTGTGCTGCGAAAGCGAGTATTCTTGAGTGTTTGATGTTTGAGCACGGACAGAAAGGAATGGAGTTGCATGGTTGTGCGGGCATTCCTTCTGAGATCAATTGCCCAAATTGTCATGCGCACAATGGCCGACATCACTGGCTCACTCGTTAAATTCAACTGCAACATGCTAGTTGGCCTCGAACCCGGGCCAGCCCGGAGTTTTGCACTGCTGATAGAAGCTCAGGCATCCAACTTCCGCCGCTGCACAGTGCTCGCACTGGAAGTCGCGACGCAGGCAAGTGAGGACGTGGCTCATCCGCCTACGAGACGAGCTGCCATCGCCGAGCTGCTATGAGGGCTGCTAGCTAGCTGCCATTGGCGGTGGTGGTTGTAATTATTGGAGTTGTCTTGTACCAAGTGGGATGACATAGAATCTGAGTGGCGCAAACAACTAGGCATCACGTCTTCGACAACATGCTGCCACTTGGGTTTCGTAGTAAAGGTTCATCATACACAAATGTTCAGTTGCCGTTGCAACATCAAGAGATGACCTTGATCGCAACTAGTTCGCTCACACATCCGACTGTCCACGGAATTGCTGTGTTTCAAGTTTCAAGAGCTTGTTCCACAGTCCTTCCGCTCTCCATCACGGAACAGAACTCCTTTGCAAGAGACTTTGGCAAACAGCTACATCCAACAGTCAGCAGCTGGCTTGGGTCGCCTCGAGCAAAGGATCGGTGGTCAAGCAAACTTGTAGCTGCGAAACCTGCGAACTACGACCATTCTCTGAAAAGAACAAGAATGGCCTACTTGGCGGATCTTACAGGTGCCAGCAAGAAATCAAAGGCCTCCACAGGGGTGCCTGTTCACCCGGCGAAAGAATTAAACAAGCAACCCACATTCTTTTCCGTGTTTAAAGTAGCTCTCAACAACAACAACAACAACAACAACAACAACAACAACAACAACAACAACAACAACAACAACACCAACAGCAACAACACCAACAACAACA